AAAAAGGACCTAACGGATCACACTTCACCTGAAACTATTGAGCAAACCAAACGACATGAAGCTCACTTGTTCCGCTTCGAGACGTTCTTTCTCTTTCGCGCGAGCTTTCATCTCTTCCTTAATAGCTTGCTCTTCGCGTTGACGTTCTTCTTCTTCACGCTGTCTCTTCAACTCTGCAATCTTGAACTCCCTATCCCTCTTGAAGCTTTCTACCTGAAATGAATCAAGCAATGCTTGACAAGTAGACTGGATGGGATTCTGTCGTACCTTATCTTTAATCAATTTTGTAATCATCTTGGTATCCTCGTCAGGTATGTGCTGCTGCTCAATCATCTGTTGCACTACCTAAATTCATCGATGCACAGTTCCCAAAACTTCCAAAACCTTCTTCATTAGTTTGCACCGCAATACAGTACCGTATGCAAATCAACATTGAGACATTTTTCGGAAAGGGAAGGAAAAACCTCTTCAGCTGTATCATTCTCGATGTCAAAAGCGAACTGTAGCCCTTCATTTTCCTTGAATCGATATTGTTTCCTCTTCTTCTCATCATAAACTCGCAACTGCATTTGGATCTAAAATACAAACGAAATGATTGGTTGCGCAGAACTTACTATTTATCAAGAATACTGCTTGGTCTAGAAGTACCTCCACATTTCAGTTCAGCAAGATCCAAGTCTCGATTTTTGATCTCAACTCTAATTCCAATCAACTCCTCTGGGGTGAAGAAGTCATCAGCGAGCAGCTGCTTCACAGTACTCCTTTCTTCTCGTCGTACCCTGAGGAATCAAAATTGCTTATTACAGCTTTCAGAGTTCAGGCTGCATGTTACTTTTTTGGTAAACCTAACAAAGACGATCACACTTGCGAAGGGTGCGTGAACGATTCTTGAGTTTTTTAGGGCATGTAACATATCAGTGCAAAGTTGCAAAAGAATTGCAATAAAAGGAACCCTTAGATGATATAATGCAAATGAGTCATATCTTTTCCAAAGCAAAAAAATGAAATTCCGACGAAAGCAATAAAAAATAAACATCAAAAAATCTTTTCCTGATTTCCAAATGAC